CATTATTTCCACCCATCTTTTTCCCTGGATTTCATATAAACACAACGACAATCCTGTTTTTTCATAGTAATACTTTAAACGATTCGGTACCAAGCAGAGTCATTTCTCGCTCCTGTTGTAGCACGAGCGTGTGTTCTCTTGACTTCTGTCAGCCTGGCGATTTTCAATCATTGCTGCAAGCAGACTTTCTTCAGCAAGACTCTTCCATATATCTGAAATTATTTAAAAGTGAAAAGTTTTTAAAATTCAAGGTGAAAAAAGGCTATTTTGGTTTACAGTAAAGCCTTCAAACTGAGAAGGCTTTTAAAAATAGCACTTTATTTTGATGGCAAGCATTGCATTTTCTTTTAATCTCTCCTAGACTTTAGTTAGATGAAAATAGCCTACACTGAAATGCCATGAGTCAGTGTCACTTATATTCAGTTAAAATGCGTGAACTGTCTTTTCTAACTCACCACAAAGCACTGCTTTGGGTTTAAGAGATCAATCCAGACAAAATTCAGTAAGTAACTTTTGCCCCGTTAGTACCTTTACAGATTTAAACTGATCTTGTATTTTTACCATTTCCATAGCAGATTACATTGCATTGTTTTCCTCTTTTTCTTTTTTTTTTTTTTAACACACAAGAAATGTGTTATCAGTCAGGCGTGTCTACCACGGATATTTCCTTGTTGACTTGCTGGGTGGGTTTGGGAAAGCAGCCTGCTGCTTATTAGCACTGCCTCCAAAATCATGTTCGGGAATCGTTTGCTTGGGTGGGTTTGGTTGGTTGAAGTGAGCGTTTCCCCCAGGGGGTTGAGGTGTCAGCAGTTCTCACACCTTCATTTCCTCCCCCTCCTTCACTTTCCGCAGAGCCTTTGCACCGATGACCAGTTTTCCCACACTGATTCACAACGTTTGGGAACTCAGGCATGATAGTCTAGAACAAAGGACTTTTTGAAAGCCAAAGAATGTCTGATTTCCCTATATCGGGATGCGCCTTCATTCACAATGTCGAGTTTTAATCATGAATGAATGCTTCTCGTAGCTGTCTGCTGAAAAGGCAAAGGGGGAAGGTAATCTGCCCTGTTGAACACGTCGTGGTCTCCCTATGAAGAAGCTTCAAAACGTTCCTGGAAAGGGGGAACTGAAAGACTATGGATCTGTTCCTTGAACTTTTCAAATCAAACCAAAGTGGATCACCACTGATCGTGACCCACCAGCGCTTTTCAGGCGGTGTTTGTTCCTCGGAGCCTTGGGTCTCACTACCTTCCCTCAGGGTGTCTGGCAGAGAGAGAAACCCGCTTTGAAGCCATGGTTTCATTCTCTTGGATTGAGGCCCCAAGCAGGATTTTCTTTGGTCTGGAGAAAATGGTCAGGCTGCCGAGGAATTGGTAGAGGGGTTCTTCTACCTCTTGGACATATTGGTAGAGGAGTTCTTCTACCTCCTAGTAGAAAGGTTCTACCTATTGGACACATTGGTGGAGGGGTTCTTTTCCCTGTACTCCACTATCCTCGGCGTGCCTGGGACAGTTCGTGCTTCCCCGGGAGGCCAGCACAGTGAGCACTGCTGTTTGTTCTCTACCTGCAGGACGACTTGCTGTCTTTGAAGGTCGTGAGTGTGCTACACCATCTTAGCATCAAAAGGGCCATCCAGGTCCTGAGGATAAACAACTTTGAACCAAATTGTCTTCGGAGACGGCCGTCTGACGAGGTAGCATTTTAGATTGAGGCGGATAAGCATGTACTTATTAGCATGTGTGCAACAGACAGGCCCATGTGGTTTTGTAGTCCACCCGAAAAGCTTCTGTTTCTCTCTCAGGCTGGCTTTTCCTGTACTCCTTCCCTTTTGCCCCCATGACTGTTCCACCTATTAAGGCCGACGGGGTCTTTTATTCTTTTGTGCTTCTTCCTTTTCTTGGGTGGACTTTTCCCCACTAGCTTAAGCTTTAGAGTTAAATCTCCCTATGAAGTCTTTCTCTCCTCAATTGGTTTGGTCTTTCAGTAAAGCAATGTTCTATTAGTGCCTACAAAAGCTTGCAACCACGTGACGTACAAGTTCTCAAAAGGAGTATTTGTGGGACTAAATCCGTGAATGCACATGGTAGCCAGGATGTTCTGGGGCGATTGAGGGGAAAACTCAGAATCATAGAAAGACCTGACTTGCTGGTCTTGCAGAGACAGGGCACCCCAAGCCTATGGCCCACAGACCAGCTTTTAAGCTTAGAGGAGGTCTCAACTTTCTGCCATTTGATCCATAGGCCTACAAAGAGAACAATACACCCGGGCGGGAGGTGCACACTCCCTAAAACAGTCAACACTGCAACGTCGAAGAGGCAGTGCTGGCCCAGGGACAGACTGAAGAGGCCAGAAAGGGACAGGAAAGAAGGACAAAGGGAAATGGCACATACAGGGAGGAAGTGGGAAGATTGCTGGCAGCATGGCGGAGATCGAAATCAACGTCAATCCTGACACAAAGCAAAATGTGTATAGCTTCTTAAATGGAAATCCAACCTGCTCTGCACACGTTCCCCCAAATCACAGTCTGAAAAAAGAGAGAAGGAGCATTCGCATCAGCGTCCACTTTACAATTCTACACTTAACCAGGCTCTCGATCAGTGAGGAAGGTGTTGAGTAACTTTGCTCCCTGGGGTGGGTTATTTGAACAGAATGCGTGGATGTAGTCATTGGAATGCCATAATCAACAACTGAAGCTACCGTGGCTGTTTGTTTACAGAATAGCATTGCCCCATCAGAGGTGCAGCAGTGGACAAATCACCGTGTGATGGAGTGGCTGCGCTCAGTGGACCTGGCAGAATACGCCCCCAACCTCAGAGGCAGTGGTGTCCATGGTGGGCTCATGGTAAAGCTTTGTTATCATTCCACCCTGTTTGGTTTCCTGTCATCCGAGATCAGATTACTACCTGTCCTCATTCTACAGCCGTCTCACCCAGTACTCCTGCACTGTCTAATGATTGTTTACTTTCTTTTTTTTTTTTTAAGATCATTTTATTGGGGGCTCTTATAACTCTCCATACATCAATTGTATAAAGCATATTTGTAGATATGTTGCCATCATTATTTTGTAAACATTTACTTTCTATTTGAGCCCTTGGTATCAGCTCCTCTTTTTTCCCTCCCTTACCCCCTCCCACCCTCAGGATCCCTTGATAAATTATAAATTAATATTATTTTCATATTTTATACTGACCGCTTTCTCCCCCCATGGTTTCTTCCCTCTTCCTCTCCCTACCTCACTCTGTCCTCCTGGTATTGCTACTCCCATTTCAGCTCCTGAGAGGTTTATCTTACCTGGATTCCGTGTGTCGTGAGCTCCTGTCTGTACCAATGTACATGCTCTGGCCTACCCCTCAGTGAAAGGCAGGACTGGAGTCATGATAGCGGGGGGTGAGGAACCCTCAAGGAACCAGAGGAATGTTGTGTGTTTCATCGGTACTATACTGCACCCTGGATGACTCATCCCTTCCTTGTGACCCTTTTGTGTCTCTGCTCTGAACCCCCTTGTTCTCAACAATGTGCTTTTGGTTTGTTTGTTTGGGGTCTTCTGATAACCTCTTATCCGATCCTGTCAACACCTCATGATCACACAATATTGTTTTTCATATTTCTAATTCACGCCCTATAGCTTAAGTACAACTCATGCACATTTTCCTCTTGCCGCCGCCCTCTTTTATGGTAGGGAACACCTGGCCACTGTCTCTCCTGTGATGATGTTTTCAAATTCCTGCAAAGACACAGGTTCTATTTCTGTGTGCTGGGGTGCAGCTTCCAAAGGCACCAGAGAGGGAGGCTGTATTTCAGAGCAAGCTGTACCACACTTATGTGTTGTTGTTTGCTGGCTCCGGGCTTAGGGTAACTCCGTACCGGACAGAACAACGTGCTGCCCAGTCCTGCACCCTCCCCACGAGGGGCTACAGATTTGACCATGGTGATCCATAGGGATTTGAATGGGCTAATTTTTGGTTTTTCTTCTTGATTCATCTCAACCTGAAAGCTCTTCGGAAACTTGTTCATCGTCACAGCAGCTCTGCCTTTTCTGACCCATGGGTGGTGGCCGTGGGTGAGGTGCTTTGGGTGGGAAATGAACTCCTGTTTCCCATGTGGATGGGGGAGAAGGCTACCACTAAACCGCTTCTGCCCTCTCTCACTTATTTGCTGTGGCCAAATAAAAGAGCAATCATCGACCATAGAGCAAGTCTGTACCTGCTCTCCCTCCACAGACACTGAGAGCGCCATCGAGATAGACTTAAGTGAAAGCGCTTTGTAAATGTTACATCCCAATGCAAGCATGGACCACGCAGGATGTCTTACAGCACCGTCAGTACAGCCCTTCCCGTTTCCTACAGGTCCTAGAGCCCCGCTTTAACGTAGAAACAATGGCTCAGTTGTTGAACATCCCACCCAATAAGACCTTGTTGCGAAGACACTTGGCCACTCATTTCAACCTTCTGATTGGCGCCGAGGCCCAGCACCAGAAGCGCGATGCAATGGAGTTACCAGATTACGTCCTCCTCACAGCCACCGCCAAAGTGAAGGTCGGTTCAAACCTGTGCCGTTCCCAGAAGGGAAGGCTTGGCGTTTTACTGTCTTCTGCCAGTCCCATTGTGGGGGCTTCCTACATTTCCTGGGTGGGTAGAAGGTATTCATAGACTTGTCTCTTTCACAGCAGTTAAGTGAATGCCTTTCTGGAGGTTTCTGTCTGGAGAAAACTTTGCTCGGCCTTTCTTTCCTTAGAGCTAATTGATACTTTGCCCACGTAGAGACTCCGTGACTTAGCCCATTTTTCCGTTTGTCTGGCTTTTAATTGACGAGTCTAACAAGTTTGGAAAACTTACTTCAGGAATGGAGCAACAGTCTGATGCCAGGCTTCCATTGTCCTTGTCTTGTTCTAGCTGATGGGACTTCTCGTCCTAAGGGGCCGGCCGCCCCCTTTTGGAATCACCTCTTCACACAGGGCCGGAAAAAGCGTGGGCTTCGCACCAGGCTGTGGAGTGTGGGCCTGAGTTCTTTGCTCAGTGTTTGGGGTGGGGGTGGGGGATGGGGCTTTGATGCGCTGTCTCTGTCTGAGGGCTCTCTCTTTAGTCCCCTTTCCCTGAAAAGATGAGCCAGGTTTGCCATTTCTAAAAGAGTTTGGTCGTATGAATTCTACTCACCCCTGGATATCTTTGTTTGCTTTCCTTTGAAAGCCAAAGAAACTCGCCTTCAGCAACTTTGGGAATCTGAGGAAGAAGAAGCAGGAAGACGGGGAAGAATATGTCTGTCCAATGGAATTGGGGCAGACGTCAGGAAGCACATCGAAGAAAGGGTTGAAGCCAGGAATGGACATCCACATGTATGAGGACGACGATCTGGACCGGTTAGAGCAGGTAAGTGCAGCACGTTATAACTGTCACTGCTCTTCTGGCATCCGAGCACTAATCGCTGAACGTACAGATAGTCCTAAAGTAATAGTGACCACTTAAAGAGCACATACTATTCTATTGATACATTAGTGTTCATTGTAATCTTAAGGCAAAGGGATTATTGCTGCTCTCATTTTATTGGTACGGAAAGTGGCACAGGGAGGTTAAGTAACTTGCCCAAAGTGACAGAGGTGGTAGAACAACTGAGATTCCAGCCTGCTAGCCTGCCTCCAAAGCCTGTCTCCTGTTTATCTATGCTATATTGTCTCTGTATTAGGGAAACCCCTGGTGGCGTAGTGGTTTACACCTTGGGCTGCTAACCACAGGGTCAGTGGTTCAAACCCACTAGCTGTTCCACGAGAGAAAAATGATGCTTTCTGCGCCCACAAAGATCTACAGCCTTGGAAAACCAAAGGGGGCAGCTCTGCTCTGGCATAGATAGGGTCATGATGAGTGGGAATTACCTCGACGGTGGCGGTTCTTTATATATCAACACCCATCGGGAGAGGACAGGTGATGCCTTCTGGCCTTCTCTGATCAAAGTCAGGGACCTGACACCACCTCTCACCAACATTCCTGTGGGGCTGTTGTCACCGACTGCGCGGGCACTTTCCTAGCTGTAGATGGCGAAGGGTTTGGCATTTATGCTTCTGTGTTGATTTTGGCACTTATATTTTTATTTTTAATGTCTGATTCCAATAACGAAAGGAGATTTTCATTAAGGATTGTGTTGCCTCTACCTCGCTCATTACTGCTTGCATTGTTTTTGTTCATGTTGCTATGCTTTCCTTGAAAGTATACAAGGGACTATATCATGTCATGTATGTTCTATGCAGATGGAAGATTCAGAAGGGACAGTGAGGCAGATAGGCGTTTTCTCTGAAGGCATCAACAATCTGACCGTAAGTTGGTAAAATGAAAAGTGATTTTGACTATATTTGTCATGGATTGAGTTGTGTGCCCACCAAAAATGTGTCCGCTTGACTGGTTCTCAGTAGTGTGCCACTTATTTAATGAAGTAATTTGGCAATTATTAGATGATCAACCCCCCCCCACCCCATGGTGTAATCTGATGGGACGAACTAATCAATTGTAAGAGGATCGGGGTGGGATATGACACCCTTTCTCAAGTCACAGCCCTGGCACAAAGTAAGCTGGGTCTCCGTGGGTTGTGGCCTGCGTCACCTTCCATCTTAGAAAACATCAATGGATAGAGCAGAGAGGGAGACACCTGACTGTGACCCAGAAAGAAGAACCGGAAGTGGAGCACATTCTTTGGACCCAGGGTCCCTGTGCTCCATGTACTAAGGCCCTTGGAGACACAGGGAACACTGGGCCTGCCGGTGTTGAGAGGAGACCAGCACGTTCCTCCCGAGCTGACGGAGCGAGAACCTTGAATTCAGACATGTAGCCTCCGAAACATGTGAGGC